CTCCATAACCCTTTCTCCCAAAAATAAAAAACAAACACAGAAAATGATGATGTTACGTGGTAACAACTGCCAAATATTTCCAACACCAATCATGTTGGGAATAATTAAAAAACAAACACAGTTGTCTCACATCAGCAAATGTATTCATTTAAATGGATCTCAACAAGGTAAACAAGTCAATCATACCAAAAATTACTATGTAGATATATATGAATAACTCACAAAAACACAAGACTTTAAGATTTCACTTTTGTTGTTTGTCTTTTTTACCATTGGATACCCAATTTTTTTATGGCTTAACTCATTTTTTATTTTTGTCTATTCTCTTCTCAAAAGGCAAGCACACGCTTTTTAAAAACTGCTTTAAAAACATTATGAACAAGTTGATATATAACACTCGGAACAAATTGAATCTAAACAATGCAAACATTTTTCCTCCAGAAATATAGCTTAAAGCATAACACTTATATATTCTTGACTATTGTATCAGCAGCACTAAAACTACCAGTAGAAGTTTTTTTCTCTGCACCAATTTAATATGGCAAAACTATTGCCATCAATAATAGTTATGTTGTTCGTCTTTTTCGATAAATACGCTAGTTGTGATGGCAATAGTTAATCCTACTACTGTTATCATGTGAAGCAACCTGCATCTAATTTCCCAACCATCGGTTAGTATATAAGATAAGGTTGACTCTGATGGGCTGGCATTATAAACTCATTCTACAAATTCTTATAATATTTTTCTTTATTTACCAAACAAATAAAGTATTAAATGTTTTTTATGTTTTACGATAAAAAACACATCAATTTCAATTTTCTATTTCTTATAATAATGAAAGACATAAGAAAAAAATTCTAAGAAGATACAGCATTTCTCAATTCACAAATCATCATCACAGATCTAGCAATGAAATCAATATTTAAAGTGTATTGTAATCGAATTTCCCCTCCACTGTGTATCTCCTCTTCAACATATGGGTGTCACCCGCCATTAATTAAATCTATAATTCATTCACATAATGGTTGTTGCGATTGAAGGATCAGTCTTTGATTATGGGCCTCGTTAGATTTTTATTTCAACAAAGGAAATACATATAAACTACAAGGTCGTTGAATGTGAAAGAAAAATTGGCAAAATTCATTAATAATTAAATTCAGTCTATTTTGCATATGTGAACTATGTTAGCTACTTGTGACGTGCAATAGGTTCATCATATAATATATATATTGTGTGTTAGCTGGATGGTATACCTAAAAAGTCTACTAGAGAAGAAAGTGGTATAATATGGTACAATATGAAACAAAAGACATTAATTTGGAGAGAAAAATGCACGTGAGCCTCTTCTTTTGAGAATTAAAAAGAGTTGGATGGAAATGGCGTTGTTTAATTGTTAACGTTGGACATGCTTTATATAATTGAATGACCCTAAATAATTGGTAGTTTAGTATTTATAAATGACTTGTGTAAGACATCTGTATGAAACACTGTATTAACTTCTAACCTAATTTTCTTTTCGGTGTATAAATATGTAGGGCTGTTTCATTATAAAATTGTCTTAGGTGCTTATATATGGTAAGATTATTAAACTTTTACACAGAAATTTCAGTTTAAGTGTTGATTAACATACTGTAAATGATGAAGTCAGTAAAGATAATTTTAAGTAAATAAATAGTGGTGTTTGGACATGGTTAATCTGCATATGGGTATCAATGACATTGACCAGTAATTATACTGCAAAACGTTGGTTACATTTCATTTTTCTGTAAGTTGCTATAATCAATGGAAACCAATAAAGAAATGGCATGCAGATGATAAGAATATAGAAAAATAAAAAGCTAATGTTCCGCCTATAAAATGGCAAAACGTATAGCTTAGTAATCAACATTACGATCCCCAAGTATGACGAAGTTGCAGGAAAAAGAGTAAATGATCTCTTGGGATCCCAGTTATATGAATTTTTTTGCCCTCACATGAACTTGAGATTATGACTTACTCAACTCTGTGTGGGTGCGTGTGATGTTGTTAGTATAATATATAGTTGTTTTTTTCCCAAGCAAAGAAAGATATAGAAAGGTCAAGAAACACAGCTCAACTCAAGTATTTCATGCCCCCAACATCGGCACAAAGTGTGTTTTTGTGTTGGACAAAGATTATGTATGTACACTTGTTTAATAATTTAATATAAGAGTGTAGGGTTTGCATGTGAAGGTTAATGAAGGTTTATTATAATGGCTGGAAATAGTTGGCTAACCCTGCCATGTTAATTTTTTGGGATGAATCACAGATCCCAAGAGGTTTCTTCGTAAGTCAACTAATGTATCAGATTTCCCACATGGGGATTGTGGATTGTCCATTGTCAACTTTATCTGCTTCCATGTCTTGTTCGACCATAAATTTTGTATTGCTTTTAAAACATGATTTAGACATATGGAACATCGAAATTGAACAAGCTGGTTCTATTCGTGAGTCAGAAAGTTGGTATTCCAACATTAAAAAGTCAAACGCACCATTTTCAAACATGGATGTGATTGTGAAATTGCCCTAGTTGTCATCTGTCTATGGAGTTGACTGTATCTAAGCGAGTGATCAAAGTGAGAACGTGACTCTAAGATATGAACTTCAATTATTGCAAAACTTCCTTCGTGCAGTGATTTCTACACACTCCAGATGCTCAAAGTTATGGACATTCAATCTTTTATTAGTCATATTCAAATTTACTAGCAATAAAATCTTTGTATAGTACCTTTTTTTTTTCATGAATGATATCATATAAGAACAATTTGTATCAAAATCAAATAAAATCCTTCAATCTGAGTCTTAGACTCTGATCTTTTCTGGGATTTTGGACTGAATTGTTTACCTTTTTAGAAGATTGTACCTTACTATAGACCAAATATATAGAGATTCATTTTGAAGTATTTTGTATTTTGTACGTAGTCGATCTAGTTTGAAGTCCTACGTTATATCCAGCCATTATAATTCTTTTTGGATTACATTGATTCTATAAATCTAAATCAAATTCAAACTAAATCAATTAAATTGCTTTATATTATTTGGAGTAATTGAATTATTTTACTTTAAATCAAACTATAACTAGTTTGGTTCTTGAATTAATAGTTTTGAACTCATAATATTTTTTCTTAAAGAAAAAACTTTTACAGACAATTAATATTTTAGTATTTTAAACTTGAAAAATGATTATTTGGCACTCACATTTTTCTCTTACTTCCACTTTATAACCCATTATATATTATAATACGTATTAGAATTTTATATATATTGAAAAATAAAACAAATATAATTAAAATAGTATTATATTGAGCTGTCAAATGTGAAAATAACACCACCCTTTAAACTTATCTGCTTTTTTCTTTTCATTTTTCGTTTCCGTTAAATTTTTATCCGGTGTTCCTAAATGTATTTGGTTATGTTTAGTATCGAAATTCTTTAAGAGATTGCAGGTGAAGTAAATCAATATAAAAACGTAGCTATATAAATGTTGTATATTAATTGAAAATAATATTAATAATTCAAATCGCGTAATTATTGTTAAAAATTATTAAAGAATACAAAACATTTTACAGTAATATTAATTTGAAAATTTATATTGTAAGTAAAGCATAAAATAGAATTTTAAAAATGTAATAATTTTTTAAGCTAACCCAGTGACTTCAAACGAATCAACACAATTTTAGTCAGATAAGTGCAATTTGAACTATCTAATTTTTATATGGAAAAAAATTAATGAAGCGAATCTAATTAAATTTGATCAGTTTAAATTTTATTTAAAGTAGAAAAAAACCATCTAAGTTTATAAACAAACCTCCCATTAATTTGTTTTTTGTTGGGTTGATTTTCAGTCAAGGCATGGTTTGTCTAATCGAGCCCAAAAAGTTAACTAGGCGAACGTGATTGTTTTCTATAAGGAATATCTTCTGCACCCCATGTTTTGTTTCCCGTATCTCATAATTTTTAAAATTCTAACTATACCTCTTCTATAATTAAGTTTTGGATTGTCCAATCCGTAAATATTTTAACTTACATAATCCAAAATTCAAAAATACTATTTTTATATCTTTGAAATTATATAATTTGAAATACATGTTTACGAAGAAAAGGACGTTGCAGTAAAATAAAGGAGAGAAGAAAAATATATGATGGGCCGCAGAATGATGTGTGCACCCCATCGAATGTAACCCATTTTTTCTCATTGCACCACTAGTTCTCCACTCCACTACACTCTTTTAGAAGAGAGAGAGAGAGAGAGAGAGAGCACTTATTCTATAAAAAAAAATTGATTTTGAAATTTATCATTACTTATGTTCTAAAATTTATTTTATAGAAACTATAGTTATTTGATGTTATGAAAATATAATTTTAGAAGGTAATCTGAAAATTACCGATGCAGTTAAAAATTATGTTGGTGCATGAAGAAAATGCCCTTATGAGAATACCTTGTACTGGAAACTGAGCTAATACCCAGAACACAACTTGCTAATTTCCATTTCCCTCTTTCCTTTCACACCACAAACTCAATTTTTTCTTTTTTTTGGAAACTGAGCATCAAATATCCTAAACTTATACCTTTTTAACAAAAGACACCACAAATTATCATTTAATCTTCATTAGAATTTAAAAATTATTATTGTTTCAATAAATTAATTTCATTCTATATGAGAGTTTGGTTTGATATTTATCTTTTGAATAAAATTTATATTTTTATTTACCTAACATGAATAAGATAAATTAGTTTTTGGGTGAGAGTGGATGAGGATGCTAGGGTGCAGTTTATCTGATGATGGTGCAAGACAAAGAGCCAATCTTTGTCCCTGTTTGTTGTACACAAAACTTTAAAACTAAAAGAATAAGAAGAAAATTGGAATAGTGAGATGGGTAACATGAAGTCACGTGTGCGAGGTTGGTTTGTTGTAAAGCGCAGTAGGTGGAACTGAACTAAGCTGAAGTGGAAGAAGGTCACAGAAATATTCAAAACACAACAGTTCTCACTTCTCTCTAATTCTCCGTCACGGCAATTCAAGCACCCTCTCTGCAACTTTCATCACATCACATGGCAGGTCTCATTCCATTTCAACCCTTTTCTTTTTTCCTTCCTTCTGTTCATCCATTCAATTCAATTACGTCCCATCGTTCGTAAGTTGCTCATCGAATTAATTATTCAATACTTGACGATAATAGTGATGATGATAATATTGGAATCGGAACGTGTTGGTGTTCGTACAATCCAAGTTTCGTGAAATTTTGCTGTGAACAACTAGAGATAGAGAAATAATTCACCCCACATGATGACCAGAAAGATGTAATCGGTGGAGAGTTTTTGTTTACCTGGAAATCTGAATGATCTGATAAAGGTGTGAATGTTTATATGCAGCGACATCAGGGAAGATTGTCCAAAATGTTTTTGTGTCACACAGCTTCCAACAGAATACACAGTTGTTCGCTTCACAGTCACAGGGTCGAAGGGACTATTATTTTTCCCCTTATCCCCGCAACTCAAACCTTCCCTCTCCGCTAGGGAAGTTGGCATGGACTGCCTCTTCCATTCAATTGCGCACTTTATACAAACCCCAGAATCATTTTAGTATCCAGAGAAATTTTCACTGCAATGGTCTGTTCTAGATTCTAATTATACTGGTTCATATGAAGCCAAAATACTCATACATTTAAACACATTTAAAATTATGCTCTTTTTAACCTTTCTTTTACAGGCTTCTTCGATGTAAGAATATTGTGTTAGTACTGATATGGCATACATTTCGCCTGTGCTTTTTACAGAATTTGCTTTACATTCACCTTTCTTTGGGTTTTAACTAGCGTGTTTTCTAATGGATGCTTGTTCCTTCCATTTCATTTGGACTTCTGGTTGCAGCTTCTTCATCTGTTTCTGCTACTGCTTTGCCATATCTAGACAAGACAGATTTTCTAAAGCTTCAGAATGGCAGGTGAAGATAACTTTATGAAAGCAATCTAGCTAATAAGTGTATATTGGTACAAAACCTACTTCTTCAGCGTACTATCTGCCCCCTCCTTTTTTTCATCATAATAGAAATTTGTTCAGGCCATCGTGTTTTCTTTCCATACCTTATTTTAGTCAAAGGATGGTGATTCTGTTAATTATGTGGAGAGAGAGATACTAAGTGAAAAGGAAGAGATGAAAACATCAAAACAGGAAGCAAAGTACTCTGTAAAGGTTCTGAGTGGTAAAAAGAGGAAAGGAGATGAACATAGAATATAGTTGAATCCTCTTTGCTCCTTTCCTTTCCATTACCTTTTTAATTGCTGCTTTTCTGTACACAGTCTATGTTGTGTATGTCTAGGCATTTAGATAAAATAGAAAAAAAATAAAACTTATAGTATTCTATTTATTTCTTAAGACCTTATTTTGCCACTTAACCCAAAAATTAAAAGTTAATTATTTCATGTAAAATATTTTGTAATTGCTATATAATCTTTTCACGTTCAGTATAATAATGACTGTAATCTTGTACTTTATTTAAAGAAAGCTTGTAGCTAAAATATCCCATCTTCCTTTTTATTAAGATGGCTAGCAATTTTACATTTGAAGATGAACTCTTGGGTGTTATTAAGGCTTTTGATATCACCCTTCAAAAAGGTTGAGAGCTCTTTGGGTGGAGATCGATTTTTTGCTAAATGTGAAAGCTTCTTCTGATACTTCTCGAGTTCCTTGGAAGTTAAGGAACAGATATAGTAATGTTTTTGGAGTCTATTAAGAATATACAATCTAGATTTTCACACATTTTTTGGGAGGAAAATAGGCCTATGGATTGTTTAGCTGTTTATGCTTTTAGAGTTTTAATTTTTACCGGGTGAGATGAAGTACCTTTATGATTGTCTCTGAATTTCGTACACATTTCGGATTCCTTTAGTGGCTTTTGGTTTGGTCCCCCACTTTTGTTTTCTTTTTTTCTATTAATTGTATAACAAATGCTATATGATTGGTGGAGGTTGTAGCGCTAACCTGGTTTGGATTGTACCTGTTGTGATGCAAGCATTCTTTCCTTTTGATTAAAAAAATGCACTAGCATTATTGGGCTACATCCTGCACACTTACTCATATAACTTATAATGAATAACTTAACAGTGACATACGTGGTGTGGCTATTGATGGTGTCGAGGGAGAGAAAGTTAACCTCACTGAACTGTTGCTGAGGCAATAGGAGCTTTTTGCTGCATGGTTAATGGAGAAGAAAAAGCTGACTCTTCCCAGCATTTGAAGAGTTCTATTGGCCATGATACCCGAATATCAGCCAAATTATTACAGGTTTAGATTGTTCTGTGTAACATTTTTTTAACACCCACCTTTAAATAAACTGATTGTTGATTGTGTTAAAACTCTGATTGGTTATGAAACTAAATGTTTGGTCCATTGTTCAAATTTAGAATGCAATTCTCGAGGTCTCGCTGGTGCTGGCCTAGATTTGTCCACTACGGTGGGTGATTCTCATTTTTTCTTGAAAAATATTGCATTTTTTTGTTTTGCATGATAAAGGTTTATTGTTGTTTTCTGGAAATTAGGTTAAATGGAAATTGATATGTTATTACAAAGAGATCATACAAATTATACGGGATACCTAAGTATTTTAGGAAATATAATAACTATATTATATTCTAGAATCCCTTGATTTATGGGATTGTCCTCTATTTATTTCAAATCTGTACTGATTACAATAAAATATATACTGTTGTTATGAAATACACAAATTTCCCTATTTATTCTTTCCTAAAATACTATTTGATTTCCCACCCTCCCCCTCAAGCTGGTGAATAGATGTTTCCATTCCCAGCTTTGGATACAATCCTTCTCAAAAATTGTGGCAGCCCCGCCCCTTGGTAAGAATGTCTGCAATTTTGATCTTGAGAGGACAGATATGGAGTGCATACAAGCCACTATCAAGCTTTTCTTTGATGAAGTTATGTCCACTTCAATATCTTTTGTCTATCATGCTGCCCTGGATTGTGGGCTATGCTGATTGCTGACTTTATTATCACAATAGAGCTTCATAGGTCTTCCCATTTATCCTCAGTCTTCTAAGATTAATTTAAGCCATAGCAACTCACATATCCTTGTGCCATGGCTCGGAATTNTTAATGATGATCGTTTTATATTATTAGATATATGTAAATGAGCGTTCGGTCTAAGTATAGTTCTTCTTTATGTTTCCTAAACAGTTTAGTTAATGTATTCTATAATACGTAAAGTCGTAGATGTTATCGTTATTTTTCATTAAAAAATAAGTGTGGTGTGTGTGTGTGTGTATATATATATATATATATATATATATATATATATATATATATTCCTCACTTAATTATATAAAAACACCTTTTAAAGACTTAACATAATTCCCGAAGAAAATTCAATTCTAAAAAAATTGTATTTCGCGACTTACATAGGTTAAAAGTCAAACTTAGGTAGTTTCTAAAGACGAGGCAAGGCAATAATCATAAAAACAGTTAAGTAAAGCATAGGAACGGAGTTTGCCAATTTAGTTACATAAAACAGAACTTAAACAAAAAAAAACAATTACATAATTAAATGTCTCATTCAAGAATTAAGAGAAATATTATATCGCTCAATAATTAAATTCAAAATTGAGGATATTTTAATTTAATGGTTAAAAATTGGATTTAAATAAAATATTGACCAAACTCAATGATGCACCAAAAACCTTCGTGCATTTTATTAACGCCTAATTAAAATTCAGAAACTTCTGTAATTTAATAAAAATGGATTAAAACTGTATTGGTAAGGTTTTGTGATTTTATTATTTTTCAAATAGTTGTATAAAATGATTTATCGGTGATGATTAAATTTATAACATATTTCATTTCAAACTTATTCAATATTAGGTTCGATGTAGTTTATATGTTTGATATCTATGGCGTAGATAGTAAATAGAATTGTATTTTGAGTATTTGGCTGGAAAAAAAATTACAAAATTTAAAAACACGAAGGGGGTGTGAGCTTAGAAAGATAGAAGTGTTATTTGGAATATTTATTCTTTTTTAATCATGAAAACGAGTTCAGATTATCAAATTTTTTTATACTGTCTTTTTATTGTACACTTAAAATACATTGATTTAAATATATTAAAAATATTTAATACATTTTAAAACATCCTAAGTGTACTTCAATATATTTTAAAGATAGAATATAAGGACAATATAAAAAATCAACAATAAAATCTAAATTCCAAAATATATTACCTATATTTTCACCTTTTCATCTTCCTTGATTTCCATTCTTCTTTCTCTATAATTTTGCATGTAAGTTTTTAGGGTTTTTTAGGCATTGATAGAAATTAAAGTTTTGAATTAATTACTAAGGGTGTTTAATGTTTAGGACTTGATTTTGAATTGCTTGAGCATTGTTGAGGTGTGTGCTTCGTTTTCTTCAATCCTTAAAGTAATAAAAACTAGTTCATTGGATTTTATTCTATATTTCATATTTAATAATATATATATATATATATATATATTCATAATTAAGCTAACAACTGTTCAAGAATTAAATAACTTCCTTTTCTTGTTATCAATTTATATTAATTTATTATATAAAATATTGATAATATAATTAAGTAAACTTAACAATTTTATACTGTAAGAATAAAAAATGTATGCAACATACAGGCACAAATATATCTCTTTTAATATTTTAAAAAACACACGGATAAGATACACATCTAATACAAATTTATATAAAAATTACAGAGATTAAAATTATTGATTTTAATAAAGAAAATTTAAAACGAAAAGAAGAAAAAGAGAATAAATTTATTAAGAAAGAAAAAGAGTTGGTTTGGTTAAGGAGATTTCATAATTAATGACGGGCCGTTTCTTCATAATTTTTAAATAAAAATAAATCAGTATTAAAAATAATAATCATATGATAAAAATAAGTTAGAAAATAAATTTTTATATGTATGTATTTCAATCAAATAACTATTATATTATTTTCTCTACTAAAGAAAATAAATATATATATTTATATATATAATTTGATAGTGACATAAAAAAATATATTATTATATGGTTTTATCATTTATGAATACGTGAGTTGTAAACTGTAATGTCGATTTTCAATTCATGTTTGTGTTATGGTCGGCAACTGAGAGAACCACATACGCGTGTGACAGTGAGATAGAGATAGAAAGAGAGAGAGAGAGCAGTGTGTGTCTTTATGTACTTCCAACATCGCACTCTCTCTCACTCCCCACTCTTCCTTTCGCTTCTCTTCTCTTCTTCCACATCACACATTCTCTCTCTACTTTTTCTTCATCCACCAATCAGCAACACATTCACCTTTCTCTTTATTTACAACAATCTTCTTCTCCTTCCTTCATCAACCGTCACAATCTAGCCACCTTCTTTTTCTCCATCTCACTAACCATATCACATACTTCATTCAAACAACCCTGTTCTCCTCTTTGCATCTCTATCCTTTCTCCTTCCATATACCTTCATCTGTTATTATTCTTCTTGGCCACAGAAGAACACACACCTTATTTCCTTCAAACCTTTTCTCTGGGTTGTCTTTTCTCGTGAAAAGCGAGGATATTTAATATTTTACATTGAGATGTTCAAGGTTATAGAAAACATGGAGAGGGGTTCAGAAAGGTGCTTAGATTCTCAACTGTGGCATGCCTGTGCTGGTGCCATGGTTCAAATGCCACCTCTTAACACAAAAGTCTTCTACTTTCCCCAGGGCCACGCGGAGCACGCTAATGGGAAAGTAGATTTTGGCCAAACCAGGGTTCCACCACTCGTCCCTTGCAGACTCTCTGCCATGAAATACATGGCAGACCCTGACACAGATGAGGTGTATGTCAAAATGAGGCTGATCCCTTTGAGGGAACATGAATTGGATTTGGAGGATGATTGTTTCTTGGGGAACACTGTGGAGGGTCAAGAGAAACCTCCTACCTCTTTTGCCAAGACACTCACACAATCTGATGCCAACAATGGTGGAGGGTTTTCTGTGCCTCGTTACTGTGCAGAAACCATCTTCCCGAGGTTGGACTATTCAGCCGAGCCTCCAGTTCAGACAATCATCGCCAAGGATATGCATGGACAGTGCTGGAAGTTTAGGCATATCTATAGAGGGACGCCTAGGAGGCATCTTTTGACCACTGGATGGAGCAATTTTGTGAATCAGAAGAGGCTTGTTGCTGGGGACTCCATTGTGTTTCTGAGGGCAGAAAACGGGGATCTTTGTGTTGGGATAAGGAGGGCTAAGAAGGGGATTGGTGGAGGGTCTGAGTTCTCTTCCGGATGGAACCCTCTCTTTGGTGGGGGTTCTGGATTCTTGTGTGGGAGTGAGAGCAACTTGGTGGGTGGTGCAAAAGGCGGTGGTGACGAGATGGTAGGAAGAGTGGCTGCTGAATCTGTTGTTGAGGCCGTAGCTTGTGCTGTTAATGGTAGGCCCTTCGAGGTTGTGTACTATCCAAGAGCTAGTTCCCCTGAGTTTTGTGTCAAGGCTTCTGTTGTGAAGGCTGCAATGCAAATTCAGTGGTGTTCTGGGATGAGATTCAAAATGCCCTTCGAAACTGAGGATTCTTCTAGGATTAGCTGGTTCATGGGCACCATTTCTTCTGTTCAGGTTGCAGATCCCATTCGTTGGCCTGATTCTCCTTGGCGTCTTCTGCAGGTACAGTACACCCCATTATGGATTTCCTTTTACTATTGCATTAACATGATAACTTGTTCAGATCCCCTTCCTCAACTTGTCTTTACTCAGAGGCTATACTTTTATTCTCTCAGTGTGGTACTGATTTGACCAACAGTGACACTGCTTCGTCAATGGTGAAACTATTCATTGGATTTCCAGTTTACTCCTTTTCAACCTCATCCTAAAACTGTTCAATGCTTAAAAAAGATGTAGCACAGTTTACACTTTGTCAGACAAGATGATTATTTCCTGATGCAATGTTTTTGTTTATCTTTCTTATTTATGTGTTGTGCGCCTTTCCTATTAAATAGTTGCTGAATCATACTCTGACCTGTGCAAATTGTATGTGCTGTGTTCAGCGGCATTTTTATTTACAATATATTTGTTTTCTATAAATGGATTTTCTGAATGTTCTAGGTCCATTTCAATTAAAAAATAGCGGTAAATAGTAATAACTGTTGAACTACAGTAAAGTAGCAAATCGTTTTT